ATAGAGAGAGAGAGAGAGAGAGGGTAGGAGGGAGTCGTACAGAGAGAGAGAGTGGTAGAGCACCAACGCACGTAGAGCACAGATCACCAAAGCACGTTCACCAACGCACGTAGAGCACCGATCACCAACGCATGTTCACCAACGCACGTAGAGCACTGATCACCAAAGCACGTAGAGCACACATAGAGAGAGAGAGAGAGAGAGAGAGAGAGAGAGAGAGAGAGAGAGAGAGAGAGAGAGAGGGTAGGAGGGAGTGTCGTCGTGTGCCGTAGAGAGAGGGAGAGCGTAGGGTAGGAGGGAGTGCCGTTGCATGCCGTCGCGTGCTGTAGCGTGCCGTAGTGTGCCGTCGCGTGCCGTAGCACCCGAGACGGTTGAGAAGTCGGCCTCTTCGAATGGCGGGCACATATACAGCCCTTCGAAGGGCGATTTTACGGCTGGGCGCGGGCGCTCGTTCAGAAGGGCCGTTTGGGCGGGCCGAACCGGTATCGCACGGCCCAGATTGCTATGGAGCTGAGTGGCCGCTGACTCTCGCCTACTTGAGGGCAACCCTTAAGTTGCCAAGTGTCTCCCTTGAATCAGATTTCAGGTGCGAGTGCCTCTCACTGTCGCCTCTCTCAAATCGCCGCATGAAGTCTCCTCGAAATGTCTCGCCACCCTAATCTCACTCTCAAGCATGAAGTCTCCTCGAAATGTCTCGCCACCCTAATCTCACTCTCAAGCAACGTGGTTAGGTTCTATGTCGACCCCACATTACCTAACCAGGTGGGGGCAGCTTCCCTTAGCCACGTTGCCCCACTTCCCTCAACCAACCAACCCTAACCCTAAGTATTGCCCTCAACCACTTAGGTTAGAGTTAGGGCAGCAAAGTCAACTCCCACCGGCAAGTAGAATCCGCTCTGATACCAATGTATGACCCTGGCCAATTTCGAGATACACATCCACCAGAAAGTACAATGCCATCCAATTGCAGAAAGAAATGAATGAACTTGAGAGGAGAGAGAGGATTAGAAGAAGAAGAAGATGTACACCAGCAAGGACAATGACAAGGCTCTTCTTCTTCGCCCAACAATCTCCTCCTCCTTATCTCCCCGTTCTCTTATTCGTACAAGAAATAACAATACAATGTTGAATGACTGGTCCAGAATCAATGTCCGAGTCCCTCTTCTACTGCAGGTATCACTCAAGGTCCACCATAGCCATGGCCGCCTCTCCCACTCTTCACTCTCATAGGCCAAGGCTATGGCGGACTACTAGGCCTTGCCCAGACGTCCAAAGGACAACCCAAATCAACTATGGCTGCTCTAGCTCAGGCCGCCATGCCCAACCCTGCCTTGAAGCTTCTTGGTGTGGCTCTCCCCGGCTGGGGACTTCTTGCTGCAGCGCCCACCAAGGTGATGAAGATGGCTACAAATTCTTCAGCATCGACGGGGGATCCGGCGTTGCACTTTGGTGTTGGAGTCAGATCCTCCTAGGAGATAGGACACTAGTGTAGGGGTAGTGTTAGAGGGGTCAGGAGGACCACATGAGAGGGGGGGTGAGTTCTATTCATCTCGAAGCTCAAGGCCACTCAGGTAAGTGCCTTGCACCTACGGGATGCCCATGTATGTGTGTATGGTATTGATTGTCCTGCTAAGGTACTCTGGTTTCTTTTCCTACTCCTCTGTGGTCTTGATTGTGTGACTGAATGCATGTGATCTACCTACTCACCTGATGGATAGAAAATGAAGTATCTTGATCTAAATGTCGAAGTCTTTCTACAGTGCTTTGTCTTTTCATCCCTGAACGGTTGTAGTCTGTAGGTTCTGCCAGAAGTTGAAATTTCATTTTTCAGTGCAGTAGAGACTGAACTAAGTTCATGTGGAACTCCTCTTGGTTGGGACCTGGATGAGACCTACGTGGGACCCCTAGGGCCGAGTGGGACCGGGCCCCAACAAGAAGAGCCTCTGGACCCAAATCGGTTAGGCATTGGCCTCTTGTCTTCTTGGCTAGGATACGAGTTCATTCTTCTTGGATTAGGACACCCACTGCCGAGGGGATCTTGGCTGAGACGTTGCGCATGTCTTCTGGTTGCACTGTCCGTGGCTTGACTCGCACCCTGTACACCACTCAATTCTCCATTGTTGCATTTAGTTACTCGTTGTCTGATTTGTTGTACGGTCACGGAGCTGGTTAGACTGGACTCGAGAGGACCTCGTATGCTGGATCAAACCTCTCGTTGAGTTTGATTGTTTCTTTTGATTCTGGTGTTCTCTTCTTCCAAAGGAAATGCCGCTCCGACTCGGAGTTCTACCTTCTCTTCTCTGAGCTTTTCAGTATGTTTCTCTGAGTTCATTTCCGATACCCGTGGAGACTCGCAATCTGAAAGAAGAGAGAGAGAGGAGGGAGAGAGAACAGGGAGAGAGGGAAAGTGATCGTCTGAAGTGGGCAAGGACCGGGAAAAGGAGTGTTCGTCCAAGCGAGAGGGGGAGTGAACCTCTTGAGAGTCTAATTGATTCTTTTGCTAACTGGCGGGTCTCTGACCCACCTGTCCATCCTGACAGTCCGAAAATGGCTCAACTAACTTCAGTGCAATGGCGGGCCTTGTTAGATGCAGCCAGTGATGCTGAGAAACCTTATCTGCAAGCACTTTTAGAAAGTGCAATCAAAAGGGAACAGGAGACGGAGAAGGAGAGGAAGGAGACCCTGCTGAAAAGGCAAGTGGCCCTCCTAGAGATTGTTCCCTCACTGACTGAAGAGCAGTGTGGGGAACAGTTGCAGTCCATACTTACAACCCTTGTTCAAATCAGGAACCTTGAGGATCATACCACTCAGATCGCTGAAGTCTTTGCTAAGCTGCAGACACTTCAAGATGATCTGACTGATATGACCCGCAAGTACCATGAATTGGCAAAGGAGGTGGCTGACCTGCGACAAGCCCAAGTGGCCAACTCCCTTCCTCTACCCCCTGGATTTGAAACTGCAATCGAAACTACCTCTGCCCCTCTTATTGTATCTTCTTCCTCGAATGTGTTGGCAACCCCCTCGGAACCTGCGACACGTGCAGATTCCGCTGTTGCTGTAACAAGCAATGAGGCTGGAACTTCTGCAACTGCTGCAGCCCCAAGATCGGAACCAGCTGCTGCTGGTCCCAACTACGCCGGTCCCTATGTGGACCGAAAGGCGGTACAAATGCCGTCTAAATACGACGGCAAGGAAGACATCGAGTCTTGGATCGGCTCCATGAGGGCCTACATTGAGATTCTGGGGACTCAACCTGAGACCCAGGCTGTGATCATGGGAATGAATGTCGAGCCGACCGTGCGGGGCTTCTTGGAAGTCCAAGCAACGCGAGCTGGGGTCCCGAAGACTGCACTAGCAAAATGGCTTAGGGCCACTCCGCTTGCCTCACTCGACGAACTCCTCATCTCCCAATATAGATCCACATGCTGCAGCGAGGGCCAGAAACCAGCTTGACAAAGTCAAGCGCAGCAAGTGGACAGGCTCCATGAAAAGCTTGCAAACCTATCTTAGCAAGTTGTTCGCTGCTCCTAGTTTGGAATTGACTGCTCAGTCTTGCTTAGATGTGGTTAAGGGCGCGATTCCAACTAACTTCACTAATCGCCTGGCCAGGGACTACATTGCATACACTGACTGTCTCACCGTAATGAAGGACATAGTCAGTTTGGAGGTTGTAGACCTCGTTAGCACGGCAGGCAGCAAAAAGCCCATGGGCGGTACACGGTTCAAGGGCAGCAGCCGTTTTGCTGTGCATGACCTGCTGGAGGCCGAAGAAGAAGCCGATGCGGATGACCCCACTCTGGGTGACAACCAAGAACAGGACTCCGATACAGCTTGTTCTTCAGCCCATGAGTCCGATGCAAATAAAGAAGAAGAAAATTTTTCTGCCTTCAAAAAGATTGCCAGTACCAAGGGACCGAATCGGAGTGCCGGGAAAAATTATGTCCAACTTCCCAAGGGAGTCAAGATCCCGCCTAAACCGGAGGATGCGACTACCAAACCTTGGGTTGACCTCCGGATCACTGAGAATGACTGGCGGGGCAGACTCAAGAAAGGGGTTTGCCTGCATTGCCAAAAACCAAATCATAAGGTTCAAGATTGTTATAGGCTGCAGGGACACCAGAATCGGGCGTAGAGTCAGTTTCAGCAAACTGTACAGCAGGGGAGTCCAGTTCTGTTGAAAATCAGCAACCCTCCCTTGAAGCCCAACCATCTACTGAAGACAAGGCTGAGGTAAGTAATGACTTGTATGTCGAGCCTTGGGAGGAGTCTGAGATGGTTGACTTCCACTACCACTTGGAGCATGGGGCTGAGATGAAACAGCAGCGTGCCCAAGGGATAGTGAAGTTGATCTTCTTTAAACTTCTCATAAACCACTGCTATCTCCGTGTGTTGGTTGACTGTTGCGCTACAACTAACTTCACGTCACCACATGGGATACGCAAGGTGGGCTTGGGGATGAAGCAAGTGGTCCTGCAGAACCCTTGCCGGACCCAAGTTGGCAACAAGGAAGTTCTCTTCAACACATGCAGTCAAAGGTGTGCGCACTACCTTTGACAAAGGCAAGACTGTCACCCACGCATTGAACTTCTTTGTCCTTGACAAGTGCCCCTTCGACGCTGTCCTTGGCGTGGGCTGGCTGCAGTCCCAATGCGAATGGACCAAGTGGAAGGAGTCACTCTTCATGGTCAAAGATGCTCAGGGGAACGAGCTTCCTGTCCTCTTGGATGAGAAGCGAGAATCCCCTGTGACTTTTCTGAAAGCTATGCAGTTCTGCAAGAAATGGCGCAAGCACAAGGAGGAAGAACAGTTGTATGTTGCCTTTGTTCGTCCTACCCATGTGCCATCTACTTTTGCGGCTAATATCACTACTACTTTGATTGATGATCCTACTTCTGGTACTTCTACTTATAGCACCTCTATCTCTCTACCCTCTAATAGTCCAAATGATCCTACTCCAGATTCGGTCGTCTCTATACGCGACTTGCGACCGGATCTTGGCGACCCTTTGCTGATCCCCCACCCCCACCTGTCCCACCAGACATCCGAACCCTCCTCGATCGGTTTTTGAAAGTTATGGCCGAGCCACGTGGAGTCCCCATGCGACCGGTCTGACACACCATCGAGTTGGTCGAAGGTGCTATCTATCCAAAGGGTTGTGTGTACCGTATGGGACCTGGCGAGTTGGAGGAACTCCGGCAACAGATCGATGAGATGATTGACAAAGGGTGGATCAAACCTAGTGAATTTGAATTTGGTGCTCCTGTGTTGTTTGTCCCAAAGAAAGGAGGCAAGCTCCGCATGTGTATTGACTATCGCAGTCTAAACCGCATCACAAGAAAGAACGCCTGCCCATTACCCCGCATAGACGATTTGCTTGATGCCGCAGGTGGGTGCAAGGTATTTTTCAAGATCGATCTCAAGTCTGGCTACCACCAGATTGAAGTCGATCCTACGGACCAGCACAAGACTGTATTCAAAACACGCGACGGACCAGCACAAGACTGTAATGCCCTTCGGTCTCATGAACGCACCAGCCACTTTCCAAAGCCTCATGGACAAGGTCCTCCGCGAACAGATTGGCAGGTTTGTGGTAGTGTACCTGTATGATATTCTGATCTTCAGCAAGTCCATGGAGGAGCATCTCAAGCATCTTGAGGAGGTGCTCGCTATCCTCAAGAAGACGCAGCTCCACCTCAGCTTGGAGAAATCCGAGTTTGGGAAGGATAGCGTCATCTATCTTGGGCATCGGTTGTCTGTTGCCGGCCTAGAGCCTGAGGCAACCAAGATTGAGGTCATACGCGATTGGCCTCAGCCCGCGAACATTTGCGAATTGCGTTCTTTCCTTGGTCTCGCGTCGTATTATCGGAAGTTTGTACCCCGTTTTTCTATCATTGCTCGTTTATTGTCACGACTAACCAGTAAAAATGTGCCTTATTCTTGGGATGCCGCGTGTACAGAAGCTTTTCAAGCTCTCAAGGAAGCCTTGGTAAGTTACCCAGTACTCCGCATTGCAGATCTCAGACTAACATTCGTAGTTACTACAGATGCAAGTCAGTATGGAATCGGTGCAGTGCTGCAACAAGATGATGGTGATGGCTTGCGGCCACTCGAGTACTACAACAAACGGATGCCCAGCGTAAAGGTAGCCACTTCCACCTACATGCGCGAACTCTATGCTTTGCGTATGGCGTTGGATCACTGGAAACGTTATCTTTTGTGGCGCCACTTCAAAGTCTTCTCAGATCATGAGACCTTGAAGTGGATCAAAAATGCGAACTACCATGTCCCCTACCTTGCTTCACTGGTTCCATGAGATTGACATCTTGGATTTTGAATTAAGACACAAAAAGGGCTGTTATAATCGAGTCGCTGACGCATTGTCTCGCCACCCTGAGTACATGAGTTGCCTTGTGAAATCCTACGACCTCCGGAAGAAACTGAAGGAGGAGCTCGTAGAGCAGACAGCTAAGGATCCTGAACTTAGTTCCATCCTTCAGCGGCTGCAGGCTGACCCTAGTAGTCAGCCTGATTTCCACGAGTATGGAGGACTAATTTTTCGTCGCTACGGGAACCACGACCGTTTGTGTGTGCCCAACCATGACCCTCTCCGCACGCACTTTTTGGATGTGGCTCATGGCCGGAGCGGACACTTCGGCATGGCAAAAACGTACGCAAATTCGCTGAGACAGTTTGATTGGCCTGGCATGAAAGGGACTGCTGAAAAGTTTGTGGCTGAATGTCAAGTCTGTCAACGAATCAAACCATGCAGACAAAAGTAGATGGGGCTACTTACACCCCTACCCATTCCCGATGGTCTTGGGGAGTTTGTCTCCATCGACTTCACCGACATGGGAAAGGTAAGTAAGAACGGGTACTCACAGGTCATGGTGATTGTTGACCGATTCTCTAAGTTCCTCAATCTGATCCCTTTGCCACCTCATGCCCCAACAGAACTAGTGATTGGTGAATTCCAACAGAAGTACATTCTGCAGTTCAGAAACCCGATGACTCTTGTGAGCGATTGGGATCCGCGCTTCATTAGTACTGAGTGGAAGGACACGTCTCAACTGTGGATCAAATTGTGTATGACATTTGGCCGACACCCCGAAGCCAACGGTTTGGCTGAGGAGATCAACCAGACTGTGTTTCAACTACTTCGCGCTTTGATTATCCCGGATCAAGAAACATGGGATGAAGAGTTGTATTCCGTTAAGGGGTTATACAACAACTCCGTCCACTCCGCCACCGGCATGAAACCCAACAGGCTGCATTACGGTTGGCAGATCCGGAATCCGCTCTCTTACCTATTCCCTGAGCAGCCAGCTGGTTTAACACCTGGCAGGCCTGACTTCAGAGCCAAGTATGATCGCTTGCTCAAAGTTGCCATTGCAGCTATGACCAAGCGACAACACGCCATGATCCATCATGCGAACAAGAAGCGCAGACGTCAAATATTGAAGTAGGAAGCTATGTCTGGGTCAAGATGTCTGAATTCTCAGAAGAAGAGGGAGTCTCACGGAAACTCCTCCCTCTCTATTATGGGCCCTGGGAAGTTTTGGATGTGATTGGTGAAGATGACTTTGGCCCGTCGTACGTTGTAGACGTGCCAGCTCACCTGCGCACATATCCCATGATACATGCATCTAAATTGTATCTCCACCGTGATGCCAAGACATTCGACTACCGCGAAGATATGATCCCTCACGCAATTAAGGGCGGGCATGAGATAGATAGAATCAAACAGCATGTAGGTAAGGGGAGAAACAGACAATACCAGGTTCATTTTATGTATCACCCGTTAGACGATCTGTACTGGATCTCCAAACAGGAACTGCTACACAGCGCACCGCACGTTGTTAAAGCCTACGAGTGCCAAATTGCTGCTAACGCCGCACCAAAGATCTCAGCAAGGCTCCCTGCGGCAGAGTATTCCAGGAATCTCTTTGCCTTGCTCGCCTACGATGCATTTGCCGAGGACTCAGAATGAGTTATTCGCTCGAAGGGACCTCACTCTTGAGGGGGGGTGTAGTGTGATAACCCGTCCAAGCATGGACTGAAACACACAACTGATTTATGAATTTTGCTCATAGGCTCAATGCCCTACTGAGTTCCTGCCTGCTAAGTCTGTGTGTGTGCGTGCTTGCTGGACTGCATGTCTGTCTGAGTGCTGGTTGGCTTGCATGTGTGTGACTGTGCCTATCTGTGCGTTGGTTGGTATGAGTGTGTGTGTGTGGCCCGCTAGGGCACTTGCTCGTTTGTTGGGCCCTCAGGGTCGGTACTTACCTGTGGCCGTGGCTTTGAAGGGTTGCAGCAGGGAAAAAGCACTCAAGTAGCGGGTAGGCCGGTACCGCACCCGACAGGGGGGAATATGCAGGTACCGGATGCCGAGCAGAAAAAGACAAAAGTGGCATTTTTAGAGGCTGGTAGTGTAGGCTAGGTCTAGCGGGTACCAGTCTGCGTCCAGGGCTTGTAGGCGCAATATCAGAGTCTGCAATGATGTTTCCCTCCAAAAGAGGAGGTACCGGTTGCTTAGGAAGGCCAGCGGCATGGAAGTCACCACCCAAGGGGCAAAGCAGGCCGCTATATCTTCAGGCCGGGTGGAAGACCCAGCCTCTTTTTCGGTGTGCAAGTTTGGCGACACACTGGTGGAGCGCTGGCTGGAGCAGCGCTGCTGGGGAGGAAGGAGAAGGACATGAGGGAGGAAGGAGGAAGGAAGGGGGAAGAGCACCAGCGGTACTTACTTGGCTATGGGGGCAGCCATCTTCATCACCTTGGTGGGTGCTGCAGCAAGAAGTCCCTAGCCGGGGAGAGCCACATCGCTTTCTCCACGTCGTGTTTGGGAGGAGTGGCTAAGGAGTCGGTGCTGGCCGAAGCCAATGTTGTTGGCTTCGAGGATATAGTTGAGTGGGCTAAGACCTTGACGTTGAGATAATTTCTCCAAAAGATTAAGGAGAGATTTCTCAATAAAACGACAACCGATAAGGCTTTCGACAAACTCACCACCATTGGCCAGAAGCGTTGGTCTTCGTTTGATTCACTGTCTCGTGAAGTTGATTGTCTTTTGCAGGTACCTAGGTTGAATTTGCAGGATAACCAGGTCCTGTAATAATAGAGATTATTGATGTGATTTCGATTATCTCCTTGTCAAAGGACAATACCGTACCTTACAGGTATTGTAACTATCTCTTGAGAGAAGAAAGATCAGCATGAAATTTTGATAAACATTGTAGTTCCATAAATACCTCAGCTAGGTAATCTCGAGATTGCCTCATTGATAGAAGATTTAGAGTATATATATCTAATCTCTAATTTATAATATAAAGAAGATCTTCTTTATATTCTTTTTTTGATAGTTCTATGTATTATTATGAACTAGTAATTTCATTTGCAATGAGGAATTCAATCAAATTGATTTGTTCATTAAGAAAAATTAGCAAAAAGGTTACAGAACCACCAAAGTAAATTCAATAAAGTATTTTGAAGCTCATGGCAGAGTCAAAGTCTGGTAAGTACAATCACCGGCAGTTCTGCGATCTCGCTCTGCAAAGAGAGCAGATGACCACACAAGTCAAAGGTACGTACGCTTCGGTTGTCAAATCAGGACCGGTTGGTGGGTACGGCAAGCGGGTCCTTTGGCGGCGAAAGCGTCAGGACCATATGCTTGTGCTATTTGACGATGAGACAATTGAGAAGTTACCCCTCGACGAGTCCGAGGGAGGAGGAGGCAATGGCGGCAACGAGTTCGAGAAGGGTGACGTCGCTGTCGTAATTGCCAACAAGGGAGGCCAAAGCCAGTGGAAGAAGAAGAAAAGGCCACGCTCGTTTTCCGAGCATCCCGGCATCGCATTCGGGAGACCATGGGAAAAGATGAACACGACTCGGGAGGAGTGGCACTCCAAAATGGACAATCACCCGTGCCTCAAGTGTAGCACCGTGGGACACGTGATAACCTGTTGCCCACTTATTCGAAACCCAAAAGCGAGCAGCCAGTAGGAGTAACATCTGCTCCTATGGAGTCGAAGGGTTAGACCAAGATAAAGGTAAGGCGCCTACAACCCCTCCTACCACTTCGACTCTCAAGGCGGAGGATGGCACTTCTTCCGCCCGTCGTGCAGACCACCCTGACACAATACTTTGTTCTGTCTCGTTGGACGATTCCCTTGATGAGCTCGGTAATGAACTCATAGCACTACGAAGCTCGTCGGCGAAGAAAGCGAAGTCTAAGGGTTAGTTGATAATTGCGGATATTGAGATTGCGCATACGTGAGTAGGTGCCCTGTTAGATCGAGGATCGACGAGGTCGTATATCTCAGAAAAGGCAATTTGTAAGTTGCATTTGGGAATGAAGGTAAAGAATTTACCTAGACCTATCTATACTGGTTGACAAGAGCACGATCATTGTCTCTCAATATGTCGATCGTGTCAAATGTTATTTCAAGACTAAGGAAAAAAGATTTTACATGAAGTATCCTTCCTAATTGAGAATAATTTACCCTTTGACATAATTCTGGGTATGGATTGGCATGAGGAAGCCGACCCAGAAGTTAAGTTCAAAGATAAAATTGTCAAACTCAAGGACGAGAAGTCTGAACTGCGTGCTATTAAGTTATATCATAGGTCTGGCTCTAACTCTACTCTGTCTTTCTGTTGTATGAGTTACCCAACTTTTCGATTAATGGTAGTAAAGAAGAAGTTGGATCAGGAGGTGATGATGATGTTTATCAAGCGAGTTGGTGAGTGTTCCTTATCCTATCCACCTTCTATCGAGAAACTTCTTGACGAATATAAGGATTTGCAAACTGAGCCGACGAGAATCACTGAGGGTGCTATCAAGCACACAATCGAGATCATTCCCGGATGCAAGATTCCCAAGGGTCCCAGGGAGCTTGAGGAACTTCGGAAGTAGTTGCAAGAACTTACTGACAAGGGATGGATTCGCCCTAGCTCATCTCCTTATGGTGCGCGTGTCTTATTCGTGCCTCAAAAGGAAGGTGAACTTCATTTATGTATTGACTACCGCGGGCTGAATTTCGTCACTGTTAAAAACGGGGAACCTCTTCTGCACATTGACGATGTATTGGATTAATTGCAGGGGTGCAGGTATTTCAATAAGATTGATCTCAAGTCAGGGTACCACCAGATTGAGGTAGCTCCTGAGGATGAACACAAGACGGCTTTTCGAACCAGGTATGGTCACTACGAGTTCGTGGTTATGCCCTTCGGTCTGACCAATGCACCTGCGACCTTCCAAAGGTCAATGAAAGAGTTATTCCATCAATGGCTTGACCAGTTCGTAGTAGTCTATCTCGATGGCATTCTAGTGTATAGCAAAACACTAGAGGATCATGAAAAACACCTACGAATGGTTTTGCAGAAGTTGCGCGAGGGCAACTTCGAACTGAATCCGAAGAAGTATGAGTTTGCTAAGCCTTAAATTTTGTACTTGGGGCATATAGTAAACGAGGAAGGAGGCCTGAAGAAAAGAAGATTACAACAATCAGAGATTGGCCACAACCTAAGACTATAACTGAACTAAGGTCTCTCTTAGGACTAGCTAGCTATTATAGGAAGTTCGTCAGAAACTTCTCCTTGATAGCTGCTCCTGTGAGGAGATTACTGAAAAGGGAAAAACCTTGGTTGTGGGACAAAGACTGTGAGTCGTCGTTTAAAAAATTAAAACATGCTTTGACTCGCTACCCTGTCTTAAAGATTGTTGATCCTTCTCTTCCTTTCATTGTCACGACTGATGCAAGTCAGTATGGGATTGGGGCTGTGCTACTGCAGGATGACGGTAAGGGATATAGACCTATTGAGTTATGTTGAAAAGACTTCGGTTAGAAAACGTAGTCGACTTTACGTATGAAAAGAAATTGTATGCCTTAGTAGCTGCGCTAGATACTCAGAAGCACTACTTGTTAGGGAGGCATTTCACTGTCTACTCTGATCACTCTACATTGAAGTGGATTAAGACTCAGCCCAACTCCCCGACAAGTTGGTAAGGTGGTTCGCATTCCTTGACACATTTGACTTTGAGGTGAAAACCGTCAAAGGTAAGAATCTAACGCGGTTGCGGATGCTTTGTCCAGGCGTGCAGATTTCTTTGGAACTATCGTCTCCTATGTGATGACCCGTCCATACATGGACTGAAACACACAACTGATTTATGAGGTTTGCCCATAATAGACTGAATGCCCTGTTGAGTTTCCCACTCCAACCCCTCAATGCACGGTCGTGCACCTACGGTGTCGAGCGCATCGGTCCGTCACCGCACAAGGCAACGCGGGACCCTCCCGACCGCGTCAGGCAGGAATTGGTTTGTGCCTTCGTCGCGAATATACATGATGGAGCTTCCGCAAGCCGCTCCGGCCGAGTGCGCCAGCCATACCTCTCGCGAGCCCCTACGACAGGATAAGGCCTACGCGAGGAGTTGTCACCTCCCTTCGGTGGGCGTATCCGCTGCAATCGCAGAGGTGGACCAGCCGAGGGCGTTTCTCGTTCGCTGTAGCATAGGGGGTACGCACGATAATACGCCTTTATCGGACCCGCACGTGAACCGACATCTTGAGGGGGCTGAGGTCCCAAGCGCGACTCGGCGCCGGTCGACCAGGACGCATCCCACACTCCACGCGCACACCAGTCTAAAGAACATAAAAATAAAAACATGCACATGTACATATATACGAAACGACACAAAACAAATGGCGCGATAACACTCCTAGTCCCTTAGTAGTCATCCCATGTGGGCGTCACGCGCGAGGCTTAGTATAAAACCGCGCGGAAGCAAGGCTAACTCATATTGATTCGCAATGCAAGCATACACTACCAGTCGCGATGATGGCGTACTATGTAGTACCCATGCTTATGCGGTCCTCGTTAATCTCGAGGGTCGCTCTCGACACTCAAGTGTCGGTTGACACGCGCCTTGAGGGATTGATCTTTTGACGCTGGACAAGCACCAAGTGCGGTTGAAATCCACACCCTCGTGTGCACCCTGTGGAGAGTGGGTGGTACACAGGTTGATACCTGTGGTGGCAATCGTCTCTTATGGCCTTGGAGACTAGCTCCTTCACCTAGGGCCTGGAGAAAAATCAAGGGGTTTGACTTTGATGGCTGCCACGGACTACAACGTCCAACCATAAGATTCTTAAAAAAACAAAAGGATAAAATGAGATTTCCCTTTTCTCTCAAAAACATAATCTGTTTAGCCCTTACGCACGGTCACATTAGGCCGCGCAAAAACACTCAAGACATATATATTCACCTATATATAGAGGGTTATTAATATATGACGATCACTTCTCACAGTCACAACGAGACTCTTCTCAGCCATATATCGTCACAAACAGTATGTGAGCGCAGACAGTCAAATCCGAAGTCCGAATCACAAAGCATACCTGCAATCAAATCAAAGATTCAACCAAAAAAACCCATGCACTACACGGGGTCAACTTCAACCATTCTCTGCGCTCACACCCCTTGCTTTTAGCCATACAAGCCTCACTCTTTGTGCAACTCTCAAAATAAAATACTCGGTACTTTTCTTTAAATGGCCATTCAAATAAAGTTCGGGCGAAAACACAACAAAACAGTTCAAATCACAAGGCTAAAGCCTTTAGGTTGAGTGGCAAGAGTGGATTGGAGTTGAGTCGTAAACCGACGAATCGGCAACCGACCTGTTATCAGTGATAACAGAATGTGATCCTTGTAGGACCAAGCTGAATCTAGCCCAAATCCTGAATCAATCGATCAAGAGGACCTGTAACACAAGATAGGCCAAACCCAAAGCTAAGTCTATAAGTTCATGGAGAATGATCTTCATATCACGATCTCACTCAAATCATCCTATTTAACTAAGCCTAAGTCTACCTGAAACGATATTCACCAGTTCGAAGTAGCTGATGCAGGACCCAGGGTTCGATCCCTAGTTCCCCAACTTACCTGTAAACAATATCTGTGACAACTTGAAGAATTGAACCTGCGACCTGTAGGACCGCCAGTGGTAAGTAGGTCTGTCGTTGGTCTTTAGGTAGCCAGGATTTGATCCATAGACCTGTAGAGTAGAAGTCCAGCTGCAGTCCTTCTAGAAGGTTGGCAAGTGGTCAAGTGGTGTGACTAAAGCAAGCCCATGTTGGRGACGAGGACAAGTGGCAAGGGCAAATAGTAGGACCCCAGTGCAACTGCACTGCGTCRTAGGGTTGTCACTATGTAGTCATGGGAAAGTCTAGAAAGTACCAGTCCGGTCCAGCAAGTACCACGGGGGGGACTGTGTGCATCATGGGCCAGGGATACAAGGCAGACCAATGCAACACARAAGTATAAATCAAGAGGCTGCGYCCAGCCATTCATTCATTCCTGCGGAAGCTCTGCGGAAGCGCTGCTCGGGCGTCTTGTGCAAGGGAGGTCTGCAGATGGCCTGAAGACGAAGTGGGCAGAAGTTAGTGATAGGCTAGTTAGCTGTTAGTGGCCATGCGCCATAGCCATAGACAGTTAGTGAGTGTGTATGTGTGTGTGCAGTGGTTGGCGTGCATGGTGTCCAGGGTGATCCGGAGTCGAGTTGCGTGTGAACTCTGAGTCGAACGTGTAAGTGAGGGCGCCCAGCGCCATAGCCAACTGAAGTAAACTTGGATTTGAGTTGAGTTGCAAGCTACCATATCTCCGAGTTTGAGTTGGGTGCACAGCGCCAAGTTATTCTCATCTGTTGCATGCATGTTTGAGT